GCAGTCTTTAAATTTAATGCCTTAGCCTCAAGGGAGCACGAAGGCTTTTGTTTTTTTGGCATGAAGTACCTGACATCTTCATATATTGTTACTTTATGGACTGCAAAGGGCTGAATGTTACCAGAGATTCTGAATTCTTCTCCTTCCCTGAGATACTTCATACACTGATGTAATGTTAAAGGGACAACGCCATATTCATGCAGCCAGGAGCGACCCAGTAGCGCCTTGAATGAAGTGTCCGCATCAATTACATGAAATTTAGCTTCTGTGTGAAGTTTCCCAAATACAAGAGGGAGGGAAAATGATCTAAGGGTTTCCTTCCCTTTCTCGTTGAAGCCGTGTACTATCAACTTATCTTGCCCAAGATGTTCCACATCGAAGCACAATGATCTCAATGCCTTCAGGCTCATGAGATTTACGGAAGATGCGGGATCGATCAAAATCCGACTGATTATCATACCATCGCTCTCTGCTGTAACATTCAGTGGGCGATTGTGATCTGCTGTTCCAAGCATCATATCATCCTCAGCAAAGGTGATTATTGGCTCATTTCGAGTTTGCAATACCTCAGTCAAGTTGCGTTTAGCAAAATACGCCTCATATCTTTCTGGGTCCTTGAGAGCTTGAATCAAAGTCTCCCGGAGGACTTTAGACATCAGTAAGGCATCATATATGTTGAGTTGTGCTGGAATCTTCCTCAAGTAGGATAAGATATTGTAATCTATCCCCTTGGTTGAAGTCTCTTTCTTCTTGGAGTCTTCGGGGATAATATCTTCATTAATAAATATCTCTTTTCTCTTATCTTTATTAGGAAACCCTTTCTTTGGTGGAGGTGGCAATACCTTACCACTTCTCAACTGCACCTGGCCACCTCGTCTGATTCTCCTCGGAGTCAGCCATTTCACGTTTGGAGATTCACATATAAATTCAGAATCGTCCCCCAGTTTCACCTGCTCCATTTGAGAAGTTATGCTTGGATCTGATTCCTCATCATTTGGAAAACATAGATCTTCGTCGGAATTGTATTTAATTGATGACACCATTAGATAGAAATCAGGGGCCTCTTCCTCAGCGTATTTCTTCCTGTCTGTTATCTTTGATGTCACCGAGATAACTAGACATGTCTCTGTAGGAAGAGATTCATTTTCAACTTCTTCCTCTATTTCACCTATTTTGAGCTCTTTCATGAATTCACCGAACATAATAGGCCACCTAGTAGTCTGGTAATATTCACCCAAACTATCAATGGCCTTTTGAGCAGCCGTCTTCTTCTCCATAGACTTCTTCAAGTTTTCTTTCTTCTTAACGCCCTTTGATTTTGATTTTCCAGACTTTAATGAGCTAACTTGGCCAGGTTGTTGTTTGGGAGTAAATGCACGTAGCACAGGCAACCACTTTAAATTCAATACTGGTTCAGTAGGAGACTTCCATTTGACACCTGGAACTCCTAACTGTTTCAGCATTTTCGTTATCTTTTTGGAAACTACGGTTTACCATTGCTCCTCTTGAATATGTTTTTATATTGTTGTTTTTTAGGCAGGAGCATGGAAGAGGACGTGACTACCGAGTATATTCCTTTTTAGGACGAACTAACACATTATCTGATAATGTTAATTCTCCCATTTTATTTTTCTTCTCTAGCCAATCTTTGAATACATAGCAATCTTCAATTGGATGGCTAATTACCCGATGATACGGGCAGCAGTTTGAGTCACCACTGTGTTTGGACTCTTCAGGTCTTTTGCATTCTGGCAATTCTAGATCGGCTTTGAGTGCTTGTCGAAACAATTTAGCGATACTATCCCTCTTAAATGAATATTCTTTGTTCATTTTTTCCTTCAGGGAGGGGAACGTTCTAGCATCAGCTCCCGTGATTTGCCTCTAGCGCTCTCCTCTACCGGGAAAGGCTCGAGACTTATCATTTCCTCCAAGAACCAGTTTTGGTTGAGGATTTGGATTGTAAGCCAGTTTTGATTTTTCTTCGTATTACATTGGCTGCTTTCCTTTATCCACATTATACACCTTCTTGTACCTGATGTAAAGTAGACCTCATTCTTCCTGACATCATGTACTTTGGCTTTTTGGGTATGTCAGGGAGGCTTTCAGATTTTGACAAATTCAACTTTTTAAACTTCGTCACCCTATCCAGAAAATCTTGGAAGATAGTGATTGAAGACATAAATAAGAAGGGTTGCATTTTATCATCATTATTCCCCATCAACAATTGAACTGTATGTTCTTCTTACAGTTGCTATTCGCACTTCATGCTAAGATTGCGCCAGTGTGTTATATACCTCGTCACTCACTCATCATTTCTCATTTTATCTAGAGCGAGGTCAGCGATAGTAGTTTTCTCCGTTGCACTGGCAAACCTTTTCACGAATAATGCCTCTAATTCTGCGAATGTCTTTAGAGAAACATTCAGCAGTTCAGCATACCATTCGAAAGCAGTTCCACTCAAGCTGCTCACAAATTGCCGAAATAACAAAGCATCATTGCCTCTGGTGTTCCCGCAGGTAGCTATAAATTGCGCGAGGTGCTGTCTGGGATTCTTATTGCCATAAAAAATATTGAATTTTGGCACAGAATATCCCATTGGATACGGCACCTGATCGTATTCTGCTGGGTAAAGGCTACATTTTCCTACCAACTTCTCTGCCTGCTCAGCAGCTATGATGGCCTTAATCTTTTCACTGATTAAACCTTCCAACTGCGAAGCGGTTACAAGCTCAGAGGCGCTCGCCACATTTTGCGGATATGCTGGCGGGTTGAGTCATCAGTCTCCTTGCCACCTTCAGGCATACCTTTCACTCTTGAGGCTTGCGGTGCTTGGAGACTTGGAGGGTTTACTGGTGCACTGTTCGCAGCTTGATTGATGTGTTGAGCCGGCGCATAACCCACAGAAGTGGCTTTCTACATCATCTCCATCATCGCAGTCATATGAGTCATCGTCTCAGCCATTTTATAATTTAACTAAGAGATTTCTCTATCTTTATTTCGCATATGTCGCCTCATCTGATTTCTCATTTCAGTGAGCGTAATGTCTTCGCCAGCGAAGGGGTTTTCTCCGACCTCTTCTTTTTCTTCTCCTTCTGAGAAGCGAGCACTTCGGATGGCAATAGATCGAGCCCTATGGCGATGTCGATAAACACGTACACTTGGCTGTGATTGTTGGTCATCTTCATCACCATCATCATCCTCAACGTCGATGTGGCTGACCAAACAAATCACCTCTAGTATTTTCATCACCATAATATTTTTCACCTTCTTGTACCTGAATTTCTGAGCGGTGTCGCCACTAAATTTCAGGTTCTTGGCTTGGAATGATTACTTCTTCGATCAGCGGACTACAATCGAAATGAACTTCTTCTCTAGCTGAAGCAGGTGAATGACGGGATCTCATGTAAGACTCTCCAGGATGTCGACCATCGCTATTACCATCATTATGGGCCTTCTTTTAGACTCATCTCTGACGAGTTCTGTTAGCAGGGGCGGATCTCCGGGAGACTGTTCCGGATGTCACACCCGAACTGGTCCTTTCTTTAGTCATCTTTTCTTTTCGAGGCTTCGGCCTTCAAACTTGTTTGCCTTTCGACTGGGCCCTTTCGGCGGTGGATCCTTGGACACGTGGTCCAAGTGTCACACCCCGATGTGCTTCCTGCGGAGCTTGTCGTTGGTATACTATTCGTTCGGCTATCACAACAGATGAAAGCCTTTCCCTTGGAGGGGTTCTTCGGGCCTCAACAATCAGTGGCCTTTGAAACTAATTTTTCATTAGGCCCTTCTCCTTGACTACCTTCAGAACTCTATGAACTCGGGCAGACAAGCATTCGGGCTCTCTTGTTTTTAAGGGGTCGGGGCTTCGGGTCGACGCTCCCAGAAGAATTGTTTAAGCTCACCAGAAGAGCTATTTCTTTTTACCAACTTCAGGTTAATAAACTTGTTCTGGGTGGGGATATAGATCTCTGGTTCTTGTGCTGGCAGGTTGGAGGGATGGATTGGCACATAGTTCCGCATTTCTCTTCCTCCTTTACCTTCTGTTGAGCCTTCATCCAAATAAGGAGGCCTCAGTATCATATTTCCCAGATTCAATAAGCTTTATGGGTAGAGTAGTGGTGTTGGCAGTCACCATAGAAATCTTTCTTCCATCAACAACACTCTTTGCAGTAAGGGTCTTAGATTGGATAATCTTTCAAAGATAGAAACTCTTCCTTGAGTAACATCCCTGTCAATAGTTCGTGGCGCTGATAGATGCACACGTTGTACAGTGGTCCTTGCAGAATGGGACCTTCAAGAAAATTCTTCAGAGTTTACACCGTACACAGGAACAGCTACAACCTTTACAGTAGCTACTGAGAATTCAAGCCCACCAAAGTGGATAGTGGCTCCAGTATTTTCAGTTTCAATAACAGCATTCACTAGTTGAATCCTAGCTCCTCGTCCCAATTGGATGCATGGTTTAAAATTACGCAATATGAGGCTCGCCTTGAGGCCTGCCTTTGCGCAATTCTAGTAAAAAAACACTTGAGGCTTACACATTGAGTTTTTTTTAAGAGGCTTACGCCTCAACTTGGTTGAAGCACGCCTCGCCTCACTGGCATGAGGAGGAAGAGGAGAGAGCAATTCACCATAATGATGATTCAAATGAAAAACCTCTTAGTGATGACAGTGCTGATGACTTATGGGTTCTTATGTGATATATCATTACAATTTATTTTTGGAAATTGAAATTATATATTAATGAAACGAATACTGGAATTTGGGAAAGATAAAATTTTGAGTTGAATTATATTCCATGTTGTCTTATTATTGAGATATTTTGATTTCATTTCATATGTTATGCTTTTTTATGTTTTATATTATTCACTCATTAGTATATAAAAAATTTATCATTTTATGTTTACGCAATCTTTTGATTTTGAGACTCACGCCTCAAAACGCCTTGAGGCTTACGCCTCGCCTCACGAATGAAAAACGCCTCAATACCCGAATAAGCAATTTTAAACATTGATTGGATGGTCATCGGGCTGTCCTGCATTTCCATTCTGCACAAATGAAAGCCAGGGGCTAGTAATCAAAATTTAATATGTCACCCCACGCTTTCAAAATACAGAAATAACGTAGAACAAATAATAAAAGAAAGAAAGTTAAGAATTAAATCTTGCTCATTGAATTTCCAATGAATCTTATTTAAAAGATTGAGTTTTCATGAAATTCTAAAATTTTAGCCCATATAGATTTGCTTGTTACTATAACTTATAAGTGACTAACAAGAGATGGAAAGATAAACCATTCCCCAACGGAGTCGCTAGAAATCTGTGGACTCCAAAAATTCGGCCCTGGCCTCTACCCGACTGTTTTTTGCTTTGTTCTTTTGGCGAGGGAGTTTAACGGAATAAGTTCCGGGATAAATTTTAGAAGCTTAATGGGTTTGTAGATAAGACACTACCCAGAGATTTCGCCCTCATTTTGCGAGGGCTTTATGATATGAGTTCTGGTTTCCTATAAGCACAAGCCCCTATAGTTAATTACCACTCCCGGTCTCAAGAGAGAACTTTCGATTAAGACTAATCGTCAATCAGATATGTTATATCCGTAGATATGTAGTATCAGGCGTAGCAGCATAGACAGATATTGGAAATTGTGTATTGATATTTGAAATGTTTGGAAGTTTAGGAATTTAATTTGAAATATTTGAGAAGTTTGATATTTAAAACAGAAATTTTACCATATTACATTTAAAGCGGAAGGTGGGGGAATGGATGATGGATCCGTCACCCTAGGCCATCGTGGTCTCTAATTTACTTAGTCAGAGGAGGTAGTCGACCCAACCTGACAAAAGGATCCTTGTCGGCAGCCATGGGTTACTTCGTCCAAGGGTACCTTGTAGACCTAGGGTGAATGTTTGTCTAAAGGGACAAATTTAAATCCACCTTAGCAACAGAGGACTTTGTGCCCTATCGATCATATCATATTGATTCATATCTCAAGGATTTGATGCCATTAAGGAGCGTATTGGCTCTGGTCATAACTGGTATTTTGTGGTGTCATTTGGCGACAAAACCACTCGGTTCAGAGGACCCCAGATTATAACCGTTTATCCTGTGGTGCCATTTGATGGAAAAATCGCCGGTTAGAGGACACGTACCACGTCCTTACTAGTATGAAATTATTTGAGAATGGATCTCAGTGATATTTTCGACTAGGCATTAGCTCTATGTGAGCTAAAGTTATATTTAAGATTTGTCCACCTCGGCAAATTGTTGCGGAGGGTGGATGAATTTTGCTTTAAGTGGTTGATGATTGAATTTCAATTTTAAATATTTAGATTTTAGAATGATTTTGAATTTTTTTGGACTTTTGGATTTTGGTGGAGCTGGAAAATCCATGTTGGCAGCCATGGGTTGCTTCGTCCAAGGGTACCTTATAGACCTAGGGTGAATGTTTTTCTAAGGGGACAAATTTAAATCCACCTTAGCTGACAGAGGGCTTTGTGCCCTATCGATCATATCCTATTGATTCATATCTCAAGGATTTGATGTCATTTAGGAGCGTATTGGCTCTGGTCATAACCGGTATTTTGTGGTGCCATTTGGCGATAAAACCACTCGGTTCGATAAGACCCCGGGTTATAACCGTTTATCCTGCGGTGCCATTTGGTAAAAAATCGCCGTTAGAGGACACGTACCACGTCTTTACTGGTAGGAGATTATTTGAGAATGGATCCCAGTAATATTTTTGACTATGTATTAGCTCTATGTGAGCTGAAGTTATATTTCAAATTTGTCCACCTCGGCAAATTGTTACGGAGGGTGGATGGGTTTTGCTTTAAGTGGTTGATGATTAAATTTCAATTTTAAATATTTAGATTTTAGAATGATTTTGAAATTTTTTGGACTTTTGGATTTTGGTAGAGCTGGAAAGGCGTTTGAAATTGTTTGTGAACCCTTCCAGTTAAGCTCTTCATTCAACACGCCCATCATCAAGGTATTTTAGGGGCATTTTTATTTCTCTTTATTGATTGAACCATGTCGACTTTATCAACTTGCCGATAGGGGATCGGGTTTCGTAGGCTTTATGCCCTTGTTTGTGAATTTTCTTTGTCAAAAGCCTTGAATGTCTGATATGAATATATAAAATAAATATTCCGGTAAACTTCTTGACCGTATATTAATCCAATGGTTTGAACCTTGTCTACTCCCATTTACTTGCTTAGGAGATAGGATTTCGTAAGCTTCGTGCCTTTGTTAATGAATTCTCTTGATTATAGGCCTTGAAGGCCTAATATGAATGTATTGAAACAAATACACTGGTCATCACAACCGGGTATTCGTTTGAAGGTTCGAAACCTGTCGACTCCTATTGATCCGTATAGAAGGATCGGGTTCGAACTTGAATTCACTTATTGATCTGTGCAGCATCCCTAGACGTCACGTGTGTACCAATAACACGCTCGCCGGGGCCCATATGAGTCGATGTTGTATTTTCCCCTTTAGTGTACCTATGTGTATACAATTTATAGTGCGCATGCAGGGGTATTTTGTCATATTCTGGTTGTGCGGATAATTGTCGTTGAATGCACAACATTTCATTTGAGAGCTTATACACGCCTTCTGTCCTCTAATATGAGTGTTGCGGATCCGGTGGCGATATTATCTGGAAGTCACGAGGCATCTTATCATCTTGATGTTGACTCCCCTTTCTCATTCATCGGGGAGGTTCTTTCTTGAAATTCGTGGCCATTACCTTGAAATGGACTCTTTTTAGGCTCTTTAGTGTAGTAGACTTGTTATTTCCGATGTTTGTAGATACCCGAGCTATTTTCTTCTTAAGGATAGGACCAACAAGAAACTTTGAAACACCAGGAAGTTTAGTTCTAATTTGTTCAAACATCTCTTTCTTTTTGCCGGGGGTTTCCTTTTTCGTACATCGAGTTGCCCTCATACCCGACATATTTGAAGATCTTAATCACCGTTGTCGTAGGTGATATATGTACTTGTGCCCACAGTGGTTCGTTGTGCTTACGAAGTATCCACTGTTATTCACAAGTATTCATTTGCAGGGAACCATTGTATCCACTACGCCCTCTTAGAAATATTTGTAGAAGACCCATTGTAGCCAACATTATACCCACCTTTCACCAATCTCAGGTGAGTTGATGTTTGTACTTACTTGTAGGGTGGGTCCTCCACTATCAAGTGGCGTCATTGCCATCTCAATCTATAGGCAATGTTGTTAACATTGGTGGTTTCAATAACGCGTGTAGGAACACTTATACATTTTGGAACAATTCGTTGATCTTGCAGGTATGATGCATCTGATCTCGTAGAGATTATTATAAGAGTCTAGTATATTCTTTGTTTGTATGCATTAAGGTCTGGTAGCGTACTTGTATCTCGATGTTGGTTACGAGGATATTGCAATATCTTTCCTACAAGAGCTCACGGATGTTTGTATTCATCGCACTTTAGCCACATTTGTTTACAAGGATCAATGTATTTCATCGGACATTGAGTCACTATTGGCCATACAAATGTTCTTATAGTTTGATTTCCCTCGTTGTCCAACTCAAGTACTCGCTTGAGTTCAAATTGTTCAAGCCATTAATGTTCAAGTCCATAGTACAAGTTCACGTGATCTTGTTTAATTCATCTCATTTTCAAATTGATTTCAAGTTCGAATTTTGAAAGTTTCATTCGAATTCATATCCACTATACTTGATCCAGATCAAGTCCAAGTTCTTTGTGTCCACAATTTTATTCAAGTTCCACTTGATGTTGCTTAGTTTGAATTCAAAGTACATGTTCAAATGCTTGTTCAAAGTCTTCTGAAGTCCCTGCAAGTTCAACTGAATACTCAAATTGATTTGAATTCTGGTTCCAGTTTGATTTTATTTCATTTGGGTTTGACCATTAGAAATCATTTAAATTTTGTTCAAGTTTAGGTCCACTATTATTTGAGTCCAAGTTCTATGCTTTCAGTTCAAGTACGAGTCTTCTGTTGTCCTTCATATTGCTGCTCAAATGATGTCTTCAAATTGTTCAAGTTTTGTGTACTTCAGTGAAAATTTCGACAGCACCCCGACATATCCCCCATTTGGGGGAAAGTAGGGGATCCGAAGGGAAGAAAGTTGCCTCCAAAGTGAGCGAGCTCCCATTCTTGTGTTCATTTGAGTCAAAGTTCTATGCTTTCAGTTCAAGTACGAGTCTTCTGTTGTCCTTCATATTGCTGCTCAAATGATGTCTTCAAATTGTTCAAGTTTTGTGTACTTCAGTGAAAATTTCGACAGCACCCCGACATATCCCCCATTTGGGGGAAAGTAGGGGAGCTGGGCCTTCTCACCACGCTACTCGAGCGTGTATGGTAGGTGTCCTTAGACACCACGGCCGTACATCTTTTCATCTCACCACGCTACAAGAGCGTGTATGGGGCCTTCAGCAGTACCCGTACGAGAATATCAGTGACATCCCCACCACGCTACAAGAGCGTGTATAGGGCTTACCCATCTTGCCATATGCGTCACACCGGGCTCCCTCCTACCTTGCTACAAGAACGCGTATAGGTGGTTCTATGGTCCTCCACAAACGGTTCTTGCTTCCGATCGAAATGGCGTAACCTTTGATGCCTAAGGAGCGAGGCCGGACAACACGAAAGAGCCGGAGAAGTGGCGCCTGCAATCTATATACCTCCTGCAAAGCAACGAAGCCGAACACCTCTTGCGGAGTGACGGAGAAGCGCGCGAGAGGAAGAGCGATCGCCAAGAGAGGCCGAAGGCCTCCTTTTTGCGTTCATTTAAGGGCGCAAGAGTTAGATCGTACGAAGCACGATCGGAGAGGACGAGCGATGTGCGACGTGGGCGGGTTGTCCAACAGGTATGGGATTTTTATTTTCTTTTTTCTTTATCAGGTCAACAATTATACATTCAAAATTATTATTGTGAAGTTCTCTAATTAATAAAAAAATAAGTGATCATCAAATAGGAAAAAGAAAACTAGTGATGAATCTCAACTTCAAAGAGGAAGAAAGGAATCTTTAATCGAGGTAC